GATGTACAAATGCGCTTTACACAATTGATGTGTGTATGGATTGGGATAACAGTTGTATGAGCCCCTAATAAAATGTTAAAAAAGAGAAAAAAAAACGTGCTGAAAAAACTCAGCTTATATACCATTATATACGGCATCTAATATTTGTGAGTAGAGTCAGAGATGGAGAGACGGAGGATAATGTATCAGTATGAGTGCAAAGGCTTCTCCCCTGGGAGTCATGGTGATCCACTAGGCTCACCTGCATAATCCTCGGTGCCATAGTCATCTGTAGGATCCTCCACTCGGCTGTAGCGGACACGCTCCACTTTGGGGAACTCATTGGTGGGTGAATAGGGCTGTACAGACGTGCCGTAGAGGACCAAAGACCATTCTTTCAATTTACCTAGAGAAAAAATAATGAAAAGACAGCATGATCAGACATGCATCTGACAGCTTCTACCTTTTATTCCTTCTCACCTAGCGAACGGTGGAAAACGAGAGTCACAGAAGTCACTGCCGAGAATACAAAGCTGGGAATGTGCATGTCCCCAAATGACAGGATTGTGATTCAATAATCTGCACACCATGACTTCACAGAGCACCGACTACGTGTTAGCAGTAATTAGCATTTATATGAAGACGAAATTAAATACTTCTATTTCAAATTGTGAATATGGATGTTATGTTGTTAGGGCCATCGAGTCAGTTCCAACACACAATGACCTTATGCCGTCCTCACAGTGGTTCCCATGCTTGAGCGCATGTTGCAGCCATGGTGTCGACCCATCTCCTTCAGGGCCCTCCTCTTTGTGGCTGCCCCTCTACTTTACCAAACGGGGTTCTTCTCCAGGGACTGTCTCTCCTGACATGGTAAAAATAGGTAGGGCATACTTTGCTATCCTTGACTCCAAGGAGTGTTCAGGCCAGCTGGCCCGAACAGATCCATATTTGCACCATTCCAAAGAAAGGTGACCCAACAGAACGCTCAAACTATAGAGCAGTATCACTGACACCACACGCCAGTCAGATTGTACTGACGATCATCTAACCACTGTTGCAGCAGAAGCTGCCAACGGTTCAGGCTGGATTTGGGAGAGCCTGTGGAACAAGGGGCATCATTGCTGACGTCAGATGATCTTGGCTGAAAGCAGAGGATGCTGGGAAGTTGTTCAGTTTCTGTTTTGTGACGATGTCAGGGCATTTGCCTCTGTGCACCAGGATAAACGAGAGACCCTTGAGAAGAATGGGAATTTCAGCACACTGCATTGTGTTCATCCAGAACGCGAGTATTTCAGGGAGTTCCCAATTTTACAGAAGGCACTGTCCACACCCCACCCCACCCACCCCAGGCATCCAACTCTTATTTGAGATTTCTTCCCCTTCTTTTCTGCATTACCTGACTTCTTGATCAGCAAATAGATAAAAACAACTATTCCATTCCACCTGCTTCCCAAATCAACCGCTCCATCCTTAAGGATACATCTCTATCTATACTTTCCTAGTGATCAGTATAGGGGAGCCCTGGTGGTATAATGGTTATGCATTGGGTTGCTAAGCACAAGATTCGTGGTTTGGACCCCCCAGCCAGTCTCGGGGAGAAGGACGAGGCTTTCTATTCCCATAAGAGTTACAGCCTTGGAAACCCACCCGGGCAGTTCTACCCTTTCCTTTGGAGTGGATATGAGTAGGAACCAGCACTCTGGCAATGATTTTTATGTAAGAGAATGGTGCAGGAGTCCCTGGGTGGTCTAAATGGTTAATGGCTGTTAACCAAGAGGCTGGAAGGTAGAGTCCTAGCAGAGGGGCTTTGGAAGACAGGCTTGGTGATCTATCTCTTCCTTATCAGTCATTGAAAACGTCTGCAGAGTGAAGTTCTTCTCTGACCCACATGGGGTCACCAGGAGTCAAGATTGACCCCAAAGCAATAGGTCCACTGAACCCCATCTTGAATGCCCAAGAGTCAGATGCAAGGGGGGCACGGTGGGCTAAGCACGAGGTTGCTAATGGCAAACCCACAGGACAAAGATGAAACTTTCTTAGAAATGTGCAGTCTTGGGAAGCGTAAAGAACAGATCTAACCTGTGCTGATGTAGCAGGATTGCTATGAGTTGGAATCAACTTTGTGCTGGGGATTTTTGGTTAATACAGAAAAACACAGAGATAGAGGGTGGCCATCATTGTAGAACGTTCTATGCGGCAGGGCTGGCTAGAAAGTTTCCTGGTCCACAGAGACTTGAGACACAAGGCAAGTGCTTCACCTCCTCCTGTTGGCTGGCATGCTCGCAAGGAACATGTTGCTTTAGTCCGGTCCTGATTAATTCATTCATTTCCTGGCTTCCTAGAATTAAAATCTTCAATGCAAGAAAAACAAAAAATAAAGAGGAAAACTGCCTCCAGGCCAGTAAGTTTAATAAGATTCACATCAAAAGGAACCGACCCTACGTAGAGGTGATGAAGACAAATCCATTACAAACAGGAACTATGCTGGTGAGAAGGCAGACCTCCCTTTACAACACTGCCCGAGTCAGGGCTTGGGCCTGCCATTCCAGTGGGGAAATCGCAGTCATGATATTTCTATCAGCACATGATCATGATTGACAGCACAAGTCAACAACTAACTTTCCTCAGTGCTTTTTACGTGCGAAGCACAGGCCTAAGTTACGTGTTTAGTTTTGCTTAGAAAGTACATGCTTTTAAGTTTTATTCCTTGTCTTCCTAACCATCACTGGGGAGTGTGTGCTAGTTAGGGACAGAGCTGTCACTGAGTTGATGTGGACTCAGGTGAAGCAGCAGGACACAATGTTGCCAGCACCCTCCTCTTAACTGCTGGTGTCTTTGATCCACCCGTCTTTGACTCTCTTCACCCAATGCTGCTATAACAAATACAAACATTTAATTTCTGACAGGGTAGGAGGATAGAAGTGTAAATTCAGGGTGCCAGGCACACAAGCAGGCCTTTTCTGTCAGCTTTCGAAGATGATCCTTCTCTCCTTCCAATATCTGGGGGCCCTGGCTTTAATTTTCCACTGCTTCGAGGAGGCTCTCAGCACATGCTCCCCGGTCTAAAAGACATGCTGCACGGGCAGTTCTCTTTCTTGCTGGTAGTTGGGCTGCCACCTAACTGATTTTCTGGTCTTTTCTTTATAATCACTTTCTTGTCTCAGAAGAGATTGAATCAAGGTAGAGCATATCGTCTCATAACTGCCTCCAATCCTGCCCCATTACCATTAGCGAGGTTAGGTGTGATAAAGTGGTTTCAATTAGCAGGTTTTTCTATCCATGCTTATATAACTTCCACCAAATATTTGTGTGGGGCCATGCAAAGAGAGTGTGTGAGGCACTAAGGGAGGGGATCGGTCAGTTTTACCATTCCGTTGAAAGTGAGCCATCACAGAAGCAGGAAGAGAGGACCTGTGACCCCCGTCAGAGTGTGGGTGCGATCCCTGTCTGAAGGGGTGAAGGCAACAGAGGTACCGGATGCCACAGCACGTTTCCTCTTTCTTCCGGGACATTTATTATTGGAAGAGAATATGGTTTACCTGGGCCCTCCTCCAGCCTTTCATGGGATCCATTTGTTGATGACTGTACTTTTTGCAATCAAGATGTTACACTGTATCAGAAGTCCAAGCGGTGGGCATTACTTAGTAGCAGGAAGTGAGGGCTCACCAGAAACCTATGGCCTGACTGTTGGCCTTTAGGAACAAGCAATGGAGATGTCATTTTCCTCGATGGCATCTCTCCCGTGGACAAATAGGAGGGTCAGCCAACCCATGCACAGTCTCTATGCCTGGCTCTTTTTACTTCCGATCACTTTGTGCCCCAAAAGTTACGCTTGTAAGTGCTTGGATGAAGACTGTCTCCTACTTGAGTATTTCTTTTTCATGCCATTTCTGAAGCACATCACAAGACCATTAGGAGTATCCTTGCCGGTCAATGTGTCTCCTATTTTTCTTTTACTATGTAACTTCTGCAGTATGGTGATCCCTGCCACCACTCTCATCAAATACAGCCCTATTTGGGACAGCACGCCATCTCTTCTACAACCACTGCCATCCAGATGATTCTGATTCAAAGCATCCCTAGTTTCTGAGACTGTAACTCTTTACTGGAGGATTCAGCCTCGTCTTTTTCTCTCAGAATGGCTGGTGGGTATGAACTGGTGACCTTGCAGTGAGCAGCCGGGTGCATAACCCACTGTCTTCCCAGGTCTCATGATTTGTTGGTGTTGAAAGTACACACAGCACATCATGTACCCAATCAACACTCTCCCCACGTACAATCGGTGACACTGACTACTTTATCCAGTTGTGCACGCCTGCTTTCCTTTTCCGCACGGTGCTTCCCTCGTTGCCCCTAAGCTTCCTAGCTCGGCTTGGAGTAGCTAGTCTCCATTTGATGCCATACGTTCCTTTAGGCAGTGGCTGTGCAATACACACGCAGACAGATCCCTTCTGCTTCCAGCACTTGGATGCAATCTGCCTCCAAAGGTGATGTAACGTGCAAAACCACAGCACCACCACAACAAACAGCCAGCGTAGTAACAGGAAGCTACTCTGAATCTGTATTTTAATATTACACATAAGGGAAAACTAATAAATTCAAGCTCAGCTTGGAACCAGCAATCTTATTTCTGAAGATGATCCTACCAAATAATTGGGCTACAGAAATGCTACGTCCCCATCTGAATTTCTAATAAGTAGATCCTCACTCATCAAACTGGGAAAACTAACCCCAGGTCTGTACTCCACGGAAACACATAACATGAATAGAAAAGAGTCTCAGAGCAACCTTGGGAGGAGGAGTTGGCTGCAGGAAGGGGCCGCACAGACGGCATGCTTCTATCAAAGCCTCTGGGCAGCAAGCCAGCAAGAGCCCTAGCACACGTGTCTCATAGCATAAAAGAACAGCTCCGATAAGACTGAAGCCAATTGAAGTTACATGTGAATATGTAAGTAGCCAAAGGGGAATCTAGCATGGAATGACCACTCCAGACAATCTTGGGCGTCCCTGCAAGTGCAAGGAGTTCATTGAAAATATGGAGGGCCGGGTTCACCCAGAGCGACGTCAAAAGAGAGGCCTAGTACTCTACTTCCAAAAAAAAAATCAGCCATTGAATCCCCCAAGCACAGTTCTCGCCACACACACACACACACACACACACACACACACACACACACACACACACACACGGCACCGGATGCTCAAGGCTACTGCAGAGAATAAAACGGCATTACGTTCTGCACAGACCAGAAACTGCTCGCATGGTGGAGGGATTTAAATTCTTGGTGCCTGGTCCTTGGACCCAATGCATGGTGGTAGACTCCGCCTGGCAGTCCGCTCCTATGCAGAAGACTATTTTTATCACGACCTTCTCTAGAATCGCAGGTGCCCAGTGAAAGTAAAAAGAGTAACGTCTTTATACTCAATATTATGGTTGTTTAAATTTCCAAGACAGCCCCTTGGCACATCATGGCAGTCAGTACTTTTTTTTCTCTTATTCAGTGAATGAAGGACACATTATTGTTATTTTTTCAAGGACACATTTTAGATGCCATTTACTCCCCTGGTATCTCTTGACACACAGAGCCGCTCAGTAAGTCTGGCTCCTAGATCAACTCAGAGATGCTTGGTGGCTAGAAGTACAGGATGGGTATGATGTTGCTCCTGCTCAGAAAAGCTGTGAACTTGGCCTGCGAGTTCAGGGAAGGAAAGGTGCTGGGACTGACTGACGTAAGTGATGAAGCGAACGTGTCTAGAAATGCTGGTTTAATGATCTTGAAGCTCGCTCTCCTGACTCTTCTGGAAAAATCTTCACACAGCAGTACATGAGCGCGCTTCCACGAGGTTATGGGAAAATGGAATCAAAAGATGCCAGGATTTTTCCATGCAGTTTTTGAACTCCCCTTATATTCTGACACCCATAGCAGGTGAGTAGCACATTAAGGATCTCTAAGGGGACTTCTGTCCTGACGCGCTGGTCTTGCCCACATGTGGGCACTGACTTCCACGACTATGGGACCAGTGAGAGAGTGCGGAGGAGCCGCAGCACAGTCTTAGGAAGAGAGACGACCGAAATGTGCTGACAAAACATCTCTCGGCAAAAGTTTCTTCGTGGTGACTAAGGGGACCCAGGAGGAAGAAAGGCCACATCGAGATTCTGGCTCTGAAGATGGCAATAGATATTGGTGATGGCTGCACAAAATGATTAATGCCATCAGTATCAATGAATCCATTTGTAAAAAGAAAGGCTGAATTGGTGAATGCAATGTCACATATTTTTACCACAATAAACTTTTCTTTTTTCAAAAGGAGCTTGTCAAGTCATTTTTTCCTGATAAATAAACGAAGTGTGCTAAGTGCCCACTTTATCCTTAAGTTAGCTAGGTGGGTTTATATTTTTAAACCTGTATCTGAATGGTGCACACTGCTCAAATTACAGAATAGCTAGGGTAATTTATTCTGCAATCCTGAGTGGGGGAGGAAAACAAAGATGTCACCTTTAAAATCCCCCTCTGGCCTGACTGTTTTGCAGACTGACTGGGCTCAGCACTGAGAAAGATGAGTTGGTGTGGTGCCTGGGACAAGGTCAGGGAGAGATGGGAAGGTGGAGTCGTTATGCAGCATATCATTCATGACTGGGTCGAGCACTACCCAGGGCACCCTACTGGGCCACATGAGCTACTGGAAAAAGCCATTCATTCTCCCACCTCAAGCTGCATTGTTACTCTCCCTTATTTTATGTTCTACAAAAACTGCACATGTTAGCATGAAAATAGGCTGAGAGTGGCAACAGGGTGTGCGACTGTCTGAAAAGACCTTTGTTGATATTAAAATTTCCATGGTTTTCTGTTTTCTTGGCTCTTGGACTAGACTGGACAGAATGCCATCACTCATTTTATTTGCTGGTAAACAGTTTAGCTGGCCTAGGTCAGCTTAATATCTTCCCTGGCTAGAAAAATTAATGTAGAGTAAACTCAAAAGAAAGGGAAAAAAGATAGCTAAGGAAGCCTCTCTTCTCTTGTCAAGAATAATGGCTATACAATTTAACCCATTTCGGGTGGACAAGACTGGATTGTTGGAGATGTGGTTCATATTCTGAAACAACAATCAGAAGTTGCTATTATTTATTCTATCCTTATATCCATATACTAATTCTTTAGTGCTTTTCCTTAAATCATTACCTTTCAAATGGTAATCTTGAGAAAGGAATACAGGGAGACAACTCACAGGACAAATCACACAAAGAAAGGAGTTTTCACCTGGAGTTTTGAAGTTCCTCAGCTGAGAAGGAGTATCGTAAACTTCTAGGATCCAATCACCTGCAGCTCTCTCTCCCCAACAATGGATGGTCATGAACTCCCAATTTTTAAATCCTTCCATGGAATGATCAAATAACCTAAAAGAAAACCATAAACCATTTCTTAGCGTGTTATTTAAAGTCTGTGAGGGTCCAGTGAAGACCATGATGCTGCTTTTTTTTTTGGGGGGGGGGAGGGGTATCCATCAGAGAAACAAAGATAAGGCTCTTGTCCACAAGACTGATAGTACTAAAGGTTGGTAAATATGTGGAGACACTGAAACTCTCCAATCACTTTGGAAATCATTGACGGTTTCCTATGAAGTTATGCATATATGTAACTACACAACTCAACAACAATCCTTCTTGATATTCACGCAAGGTAAATGAAGACATAGACCCATACAAAGGCTTCCACACGAATGTTCACAGCAGCTTTACGTGTAACAGGCAAAAACTAAACAATTCAAATGTCCATCAGCTGGTGAATGGACAATTTATGCTCTGCTCTTATAACCAATTACTACCCAGCAATACAAAGGAGTGAACTGCTAATGCATGCCACACCAGGAATGAATTTCAAAAGCGTTAAAGCTAAGGGAAAGTTGGAGCTACAAGATGGTCTACTCTAGGGTCCAATGTCTGTGGCAGGCTAGAACAGGCAGAACCATGAGGAGAGAACAGAGGTCATGGTCACCAGGAGGCAGGGGCAAAGGTCAGGGAACTTCTAGGTGTGATAGAACTTTCAGGATCTCAAAAGTCATGGCATGTGTTTTTAAAACTGAATATATTTGTCAAAAATTCATTGAACGATTTCACTTAAAAAGGTGTATTTCACTGTATGTAAATTATACCTAAGGCAAAGGATTCTGCACACTAATCTTATCCAGTTCAGGGAGCCAGGCCTTGAGACCCAGTCTAGATCCTTCTTTTCCAAGCTTTCTACTGATTTTGTATTTAATTCCCTATATGAAATCTCTTTTGGCTTGAAAGAGCTAGAATTATTTCTATTTCCTGTGGTGGGTTCCTGGCAGATAGGAAATAGGAGGAAAGTAAAGCAATGGGATTCTTGTGAATTATAAAGAGAATGATTGGTAAGGTATAGAATCGGCATATTAAGAAACAAGGATCTGAAATCTAGAGAGCAATAATGAAGACTGAACTTTCCAAAGAAATACCCAGAAGGCTGCTGAGACACTTTCTGTGGGCATGTGATCCACAGGATGGGAAGTGAAAGATGGGTTACTTCAGAGGTAAGTTTTCAGTGTGCCTTAAAGTTATGTGTATCAGTTAAGGTGACCAGACGGCCCGATGTTTGGAAAGAATGCACGACAAGCTAGGGAACGGTCTATTTGGTCCATATAGACCAAATTTTTAATCGAGAACATCCCCCTCCCCCCCTGTCAATGGTGTCCCGCGCTTTAAATCTGGCCACCTTAACTTATCTACTGTTTTGATCTAAAAGTAGCAATAAAATAGGAAAGGGACGATCAAAGTCAGGGAAGCAAACAGAGGCAAAATCTCCCTCTCACTGTCTCACCAGCGGCCGTGTGCAGTTTCTGGCCCTCCCGGTCAGAGCGCACAGGGCCACCTGTTGACAGCGGAGTTCTCAGACCTGAACCAACAGCCCTTGGGCTGGTTTCGCGTTCACCAAGCAAACGCTTGGCTGTGACTGGACCTTCGACATCGACCCTCCCCAGTGGGGACAAAGGAGCCTTTCTAGAAACAAAGTAATGTGCTTACGGAATACAGTACGCACGGGTGTCCCACTTGCTGTTAAAACGAATGCTTGCCCTTAGAGGTTAAGTAAATATGCACTCGCTTTGGAATCAATGAACCACCCTGGGCTTGCAGCAAGTTCTTCCTTCTAATTCCCCTCACTGCTGAAGGTGTAGCTTTGAAGTCAATGAAATGAGGTTGAGCCTTTTCTTGTGCTCAAATAACTTTAAATAAGAGCTATAGACACCTACAAATTTAACCAATTTACCTAAAAATCAGACTACTTTATCTGCAAACTTGACTGATTTATCTACAATTTTGACTCAAAGGCACACATTTCTTCAGTAAGCCAGGAATGGCCTAAAGTCATCTCTCTATGAGTTATTAGACCTCTGATCAAAACCAAACAAAAGAGCATTCTATCCAGTGGTTCTCAACCTGGGGGTTGCGACCCCTTTGGGGTGGTCGAACGACCCTTTCACAGGGGTTGCCTAAGACCATCGGAAAACAGATACGCCCGATGCCCAATACGAGTACCCGGCGTGAAGACTGTTACCCATGCTACACCATGCTTCAAGGCAAAATTTCATTTATTTGTTATTACAAATAAATATTTTTACAATCTATAATTATGTATAGTTTTTGTGATTCATCACTATACGTTATGTTCAATTTTAACAATGAAAATATGAAAATAATTTTATGGCTGGGGGTCATACAACATGAGGAACGGTATGAAAGGGCGGTGGCATGAGGAAGGCTGAGAACCACTGTATTACATGTGTGCGGTATCCTCTGTAATGCACATGAACACAGAGTCCGACAGACTAACAGACCACCAGAGGAGAAGCTCTGCCTCCACAAATCCTAAAGCATAGGGTTTGGACCAGTCTCAAAGGGATCACACCACAAGGTCCTTGACAGAGGGGGGAGAAAATGTGGGAAAAAATTCAAAATAATAATTACACAAACACCCCCAGGTTTACTAATCGGACGGAGCCTGGGGGCCCTCTGTCATCTTTGATGGGGGAATGAGCTCATCTCTGTGGCCCAATGTGAACAGTAGGCAGGTGTGTGTGTGTGTGTGAGTGTGAGCCACCCCACCCAGGTGGTGCACACTCCTCAGAGCAAGCACTCCAGAGATCAGAAGGACAGGGCTGGCAGAGAGAGAAAGCTCCGAAGGCCAAAGAGATGGGGGAGGTGGGGGGAGTGGGAATGGGAGGCGCAGACAGCTGTTGCACTGCAGGGATGGCAATGTAACAATGTGTCACAATGACACAATGTAACAATGTGTCACAATGACACAATGTAACAATGTGTCACAATGACACAATGTAACAATGTGTCAATGTTATGACACAAGATGCGTATGCACTGTTGACTGGAGACGCAATGTTCTCTGCAAGCGGTCACTCAAATCACCAAGTGAAGCTTTTTAAACACTGCCCGCTGGAACCTGCAGCTAGAGGCCTTGGCTGGTACCACTGTGGCCTGTTACGTTCAGACTCTCAGTCAAAAGCATTCCCAGCAGCAAAGCAAGAAGTAGGGAAGTCACCTGCTGCAAGTTCCCAAGTCTCTGAAAAGAAAATCAAAACGATATTAAAGTCATCTCCTCCAAGTGTCGAAAAAGTTGCACAGGTTTGAGTTAAACCGAGATGAACTTCACTGCAGGGCCTTTGGGGAACATATAAGTATGCTCGGCTACCAGCCTTAAGGGGGCTAATGGTACGCAGCAATGTGCAAATCTGAAGCGCTTTCTTTTTAAGAAAAAACCAAACCATTCGTACACTATATAGCATTACGGTCACGTTGTCTCTTTAATGGATTCTCAGGAGCATTAAAATAAAACCACGTTCACTGCCTCCTCATTAATTCTGACTCAAAGCAACCCTACCCTGGCCTTCTGGGGCTGCAAACTTCCCAGGGAGCAGACAGCATCATCGGCCACTTCGTCTCCACAGCCAGCCTGGGGTTACCAGTTCAATGTGGACAAGTGAGGGTGCTCCTAGATCTCTTGCACAACCTCAGCAGGGCTGGTGGTATGGTTCCAGCTTCCAACTGGCCTTGGCCAAGGAGAAAGGGCAGGCGTGCACTCACACGTTTAGAGTCCTTCGTGCAATGAAGAGCCAGGAAAAGCAGCTCTGGCCCCTGTGCCAGGTGCCCTTTCTAAGAGCGCCAGTATTAATGGGATGTGTTGGTGGAGAAATGGCCTGAAGGCAAAAAAGGGTTTGAAACCACTCGCTAGTCCACAGCCCTAATTGAGGCTCTAATTTGTTCAGATCATTGGGCCATTTGAGAGCAATCAAGTAATAACTTGTCACACAATACTTTCGAGAGTGCCTAGCTTAAAAGCAGTTCACAAACAGTTTAGAGGGAACACTTGGCTTATTGCCTCATACTAAACTACAAAGGGGACGGGAGGCTGCCGTCCTCCCATGGGCAGTCCTGTTTCCATAACCTCGGCCAATGTTAACTGCTCTCGGATCAATGATCTGACTGCTGGATTAGTAGGCCCTGCGTCTTCCTGTCCACCCTTTCCTGCCCCTTTGGAGATGCATTTTATTGTTGCCGATCACTTTCAAATTACATTGGGAACAAAAAGTGAACCGGACCTGGGTGCCAAGGAGAAACCAAGGTCACTCGGAATTTAAATAAGTGTTTCAAGGAGAGCCTGCCATGGGGCTTTCTCTGTCTGGCTGAGCAATTTCCCAAATAGGTCTCTTCGCCTTATGCCGGCCTGGGCCATCCATGAAACCCATTTTCTGATGTGAAAATTGAAGAGAAGAATAAACATACAGCCAAATATAATGATGACGTGCTGTTAAAATGATGGCGAAAGAAACAGATCCTGATGGTTCTTGCGGTCCCAGCAAACTGGCCATTCACGTTTATAATAAATACCCTGTCTTTTGGAGCAATGGAGAGTTACAGAGCTACGGCTCTGTATTTTCAACGGTTCCACCAGTCTCTACATTGAATATGATTGATTATACCTTATAAGTGGCAACACGTGCATGTAACGATGTAGCTGAGTCTTCATGCCATCTACATCTGGAAAAAACTGGAATTAAAAGAACGGAATTTTCCCACAATATTTTTTGAAGTTGCTCTGTGTCAGAATCAACTTGCTGGCAGTGGGCACTGTTAGGTAAGTGTTGAATGGCTCACTGGACAAATAAAATGAGGCTGTCGACTCCCATAAAGGTGGACAGCCTTAGCAGCCGGATACAGGCTTGCTATGAGTCAGCATTGTCTCAGGGGCAGTGAGTGTAGTATTCAATTAAATTGGGAGAGAGTGAGGGGTCCACCCCCCACCGCTACTACTACCCATGGGTTCAGTAAGCACAATTGTACGGTTGAGATATAAGTATTATATTAGA